AGCGCAACAGAAAAGAATGCCATGCGCTGGTGATGACCTTAATGACTATGACATTTTCAGGTAAAAATTACATACCCGTAGAAATAAATACGCAGTGTTGGGGAGGTGTACTATACTAGAAGCATTACATAGACGGAGCAGAACACATAGACGACATCAGTTATTTTCTATTCACGTTAATATCCTTATTTTGTGAAACCAGACGTATAATTGACAAAAATCTACTGGTATATGTGGTTCCATTTGGTGTCCAGTAGAATATGGAAATTCTTTAACTGAGATACAGTTTCAACTTTGTGTTTTATAATAGTCCATTCTGTTAGTAGATTGCACATTTTGCAGTCTTATGTCGATGGTCTTGGATAAAGAGTAGTGCTGATGAGTTTCCAAAAAGCACGATATAGCATGACTGGCCATCTGCGATAGCTATATGACTGGTTTACCTACTGACATAATTCTATATCGCAGGTTAGAGCTTTGACAGTATATATTTTTTGTTTTACATATTGTGTAGACCCTGTCTAAACGGGAACATATTTTGGGCAAATTATTGACATACCGAGGGTGTACATAAATGGGCATAGTAAAACACTACGCACTGCATACCGCGACCTTTCTTGTATCTGAAAATTAAAGTTTTGAATTCAGTTTTTAAGGATATTCAGTGTAATTAATCTAAACACACCAAATAATTAATATTACACATCTCAGGCACTACTGAAATAATTTTGTCGAAATTTTGCACGATAACAAAGTTACCAAGGAGTAACTTAAAACTAAACGGACGGTTAAATAATCCAATTTTTGTTTTTTGTTGTTGTCAAAAACAACACCTTTTAAGCTGAGTATTGATATGTTTGACTATCTAGCGCGTGCGCCATCTTTTATGTCGGTATTGAAACGTCGAATGACGTTGACATTTACCAACCGAGTGATTTGGTTATACGTGTTCCTGAAACGTTAATTTACTATAATTTTACACAATGTGCATTGAAAATGGTTGTTCAGTTGTGTTAACGCAACGTCCATATCGTGGCAAACAGGCACCGTCTGACAACACTATCCGTCGTTCGGTTTCGAATTTTCTTGAGGACGGGACAGTGGGAGATCGTCAACATACCGTTCATCAACGACCAAGACGTTCCAATGAATTGGTTGAAGCGGTCAGAGACAGCGTAGCCCAGAACCCAAAAGTGTCGAATCGTCATCGCGTTCAGCATTTTGGCATCAGTGGAACCACGTTGCGGCGCATTTTGAGGGATCATTTGCATTTGTTTCTTTATAAGGTGCAGTTACCGTCCACGTCGCTTGGAATACGCCGAAACAGTCGCCCGCATGGTTGATGCTGAACCTGATTTTTGGAAGCAAATTGTGATGACCGACGAGGTCCATCTCACGCTCTATGGCGGCGTTAGTAACCAAACTGCCGCATTTGGGGGACGGAAAATCCGGCGTTTACGCTAAAACCACCATTGGGCCACTTTTCTTCAACGAAAACGAAACCGTCGATGGAAATCGATATCGGTGGATGTTGACTCATTATGTCTGCCCATAAATGCGTGAAAAAGATCTTGATGGCTACTCGTTTGAACAAGACAGTGCGCCATGCCACACTGGAAATGAAACAATCTAGTTTCTGCAACGAACATTCCATGGACGTCTGATGTCAAAAAGAGGTGACATTGACTGGCCACCCAGGTCTCCAGATTTGACCCCACCTGACTTGTTCTTGTGGGGTTATTTAAAAAGTCAAGAGTACGCCAGCAAGCCCCAGACCACTGAAGAACTCAAGGCAAACATTCGTAACGCAATCGCCGCTATACCACCAGAGATGGTCGAAAAAGTAACGGGAAACGCAGCAAAACGGGCACATTCTGTTTTTGCCAATAAAGGTTGCCATAGGCCCGTATCGTCAGTCGTCCCTACAATTGTAGGGCGCCTTTATGGCCTCTTTGATTGTCATAGTTTTCTACTTCTCCGTGTCAAAACTCTATTTTGAGGTTATGTCACAAACATCTATTTGCATCAAATTGTGCTTGCTTTTGAGTTATATTATGTTTTATCAGCCTGAAATTTCCTACAATTTAAAAAGAAAACATATCTTCACAACAGGAGAGCGCTGACGCTGACACGGGACAAGTGTAATCTAGAAATTTTTGAAGGAAAGAAAGGAGTATGACAATCAAGGAGGCCATGAACGCGCCCTACAATTGTAGGGACGACTGACGATATGGGCCTTAGATGCTGTGTTCAAGAACTAGTCCCAATAAATTTTAAAGGACCATATTTAATAAAAATACCCGATATATAGAAATCAGTTTTTCGTTTTCAAAGTTATTTCATGTTAACATACCGACATAAAAGGTGGCGCACCATGTACAAGAAAAATAAATGATGTTAATCAATCAGAAATATTGCGTCACTCTTAGCTTTTTAGTTAAACCGTTCTGGGAGCTCAAAATTCTATTCTCGGGTTCAGCTTATTTATTTCCTTGTATGTTATAAAGTACAACGCCTAGTAAGTTAAACTGTGAATTTATTATTATTTAGCAGGAAAAGAGTAACATATGATTTAAGTGGAAGGAAAATCCATGTTGTGCATCATATTGACTTGTTTTTTCGAGAATTCTTTTAATGACTTAGTTCTATCAACTGATATTGTACAACAACACGAATTACACGGAAAAGGCATTTAACATGCAATTCCACTAAACTTGTTCATCCAAGCCAACTTGAAATTAAAATAAAAATCCACAAAAATGTGGTATGCAGGTCCGGACATTTAATTGTGTGATGTACCATTATGAGACTAAATCAAGCGTAGGGCTGTGAGGAGAGCACGTCATAAACGTAACTATGCTGAAAATACTGACCCCGGACCTGTATATTATGTTTTCCCGCATTGTCATCATCACCTTGAGACCTACAGAGTGTAGTTCAGAGCATCTGTTTAAAAAAAGCCGTGTTTCTTTAAAACGAGGCTCGTAGAATTACATTATTAAACAAATAATCACCAAAAAAACTAAATAAGGTGCATAACATTAATGTTCCTTTTTATTTAAATCATGTATTGCTTTTCTATGCGAAATAAATTTAGAGAATAACTTACAGGACGTTCTACTTAAATAAGAATACTGAATCGGACCCTCGGATTTTGAGTCCCCAAAAACATGTTTAGTTGAATTTTAAGCATTATGTAAAATATTGCATCTGATAAACTGCTAAAAATAAAATATTTGAATAAATAAAAATGTTTCACTAAGTATTTTGCATTTTAATTAGGAACGTTCACCGGCTTGTTATATTTTCAGTTTAAAAGTTGTTGATTCTGATAAAATGGAGGAGTGACCATTTTGTACACAGTCACTTTACTGTATTAAGATGTAGTGGCAATCGTGACATCGCAAATGCTGGAATATGATAACTGATAAATCGTGTCTAATAACATCGAAATGTTGCCCTCCATAATGTTTTTCCTGTGACTCCGGTTTCTTCACGACCACTGCATGGCCACTAGATCGATTGTCAAAAGCTGTAAAGCTCTTATATTTTTACTCTCGCCGTTGCAGTAAGCTTGTTGTCCAAGCCTGATTGAATGACGCATTCTGATTTCAGTGCAATAATCGAGGGAAGACTCTTTTTTTTATACTCCAACTACCACGAAGGCCTGAGGCCTAAGCACCCATTGGGTACCGTGGGGCTATAGGGGGATACATGGGAAAGGGTGAACGCCACACGGACTCTGGCGAGGGGACACGTGTGCATGCAACATGCACACATTCTGGCTCTGCCTACGAGATCCGCCGGGTGGTACCTCCGCGTTCGACAGTCAGCGACCGTCTACCACCTACGGACAATCACAATATCCATAGGCAAGAGAAAAATTTCTCCTGAGACAGGACTCGAACCCGCACAGCGCACGGCGACTGATCAGGAGACCGAAGAGTCTACTACTGCGGTCACCGCTGCTGCCTGAAGTTTTGAAGCTTGCCACCCTTCTTCTCCAAGAGCCAAAACGTTTTTGTGTCTGTTGCTTACCAAAATGTTTTTGTATAATTAATCCGTAATGGTTTCCATGCAATTTTTCGAGCTCTTAAAATAAGTGCATATTTTCGCATTAACTCCGTAGGACAGAGATTGCATTGGGTAGATATATAAAAATTTCCAAAAAGAATAACGAATTATAATAGAAGTTGTTTCAGACGCCGCATTACTTGTTTTCCAGCTAACACCTTAATAAAGCTTCATCTAGCAGAATAACCAGCTGTCAAAGCATAAAATTATCGCAATTACTAACGTTTACGCAGGGAGTAAAGAATGCCGTTGGTAATTTTTTACTGGATTCACATTTTTGCAAGTTTAGTCATTTACCTTAAACACAGTGTGTCACAATATTCCTTGACATAGAAGTACCACGTATTTTCAGACACAAAAGCAGTCGATTGGACATGATTTACCTCCCCGTCCCAGTTCCGAGCTAGCAGCCGTCGCGAGTATACACTTGTGCGACTGCGATCCACCCGGACTTACAGTGCGATCTTATTGTGATTTTCATCACGATACGATCGCTATCCACGATGGCGAGAATCGAAAAGCTGACGAGCCAGCTGAAGCAGAAGGAGGATAATTTCGCCATGCTTGCAGAGCAGATGAAAAATCTGCAAGAAGCATTCAAGCAGGCGAGGCAGGAGATAGAGGAAGTGAGGGGGAAGCTCCTCAAGGCGAAGAGGAAGGCGAAGAGGACAGAAGAAGAAGAAGAAGGTGAGGACCAGGGAGGCGAGGACCAGCAGCCTACCGGAAACAGAGACATGGATGCCCAAGAAATAGAAGAAGAAGCCGAGAAGAGGACCGATGACGCAGACTTCAGTGTCGTCACCAGGAGGAGAAAACAAGTGAGAGTTTCCTCCTCCTCCTCCGAAGAAGAATCGTCCAGGCAGCGAAAGATGCCAGCTGTCACCAAGAAGAGAGGTCCTAGAGCAACCAGGACCACCGAGGCCCCCATGGCAGGAACAGGAGTTCCTCCAATCAATATCGAGGGCACCGTTGACTGGTCATCCTTAAGCAGGATGATAAACAACAAGGGGATCCAATTCTCCAAGGCGAGGACGGCGGGTTACAGTGTGAAGGTGTTCACAAACAAACCAGCTGACTACCGTCAGCTAGTCACACTGCTGGACACCATCAAGCGGCCCTTCTTCACCTATCAACTGAAGGAGGACAGGATGGACCAGAGGGTCATTCGTGGACTATCCAGGGAGATGTCAATCGATGACGTCAAAGAGGATCTAGTAAGCCAAGGTATCGCAGACGCCGAGGTTCAACAGATGACCTCCAGGACCACCAAGAAGCCACTTCCGCTCTTCCTCGTCAAGACGAAGATGCCGGAAAAGCTTCTAGAGATCCAGAGGCTGGCCATGCTCACGGTCAGCTTCGATAGAAAGGAGAAGTCCACCGAGCCCAGCCAATGCTACCGCTGCCAGCGGTACGGACACACGCAGCGAAACTACCGTCTCGCTGAACGGTGCGTAAAGTGTGGTGAGGACCACACCAGCACCAACTGCAGTCTGCCGACGTCGCCAACAGGGCAACGAAATGCCAAATGCTGCCTTTGTGGAGAAGGACACCCAGCAAACTATAAAGGATGTAGTAAGGCCCCGAAAGCTGCTGCTGCCCCAAAGCAGTCTCCACCTCAAATAGGACCTCTTACGCTGAAAAAGCGAAGAAAACCATGTCCACTTCTGCCACAGCAGCCGCCACTGCTACTGGAACTACTGCGCAGAAGCAACACGGCGATGACAGACTGCTAGCTATGATGCAAGCTATCATAACCCGCCTGGATGCACTCGAGACCAAGATGCAAGACAAGCATTAGACCAGTAATGACTACAGGTCAAAACGTGGAATCTCTACGCATTATCTCCTGGAACATCAACGGATTCAGGGCACGGAAACCAGAAATCCAGGAGATACTAGACCAGTACCACCAGAGGTGATGGCCATCCAAGAAACGAAATTGGATCCTGGCCTGGAGCTCTGCAGCGAAAATTTCGTCGTCAGCGCACCACGATCCCCACTCTTCACGGCCAACGTGGCCTGGCCTACTCCAGTGAAGAAAAAGCCGAAGCATTCGCCGATTCACTAGAATCCGAATGCAGACTCAATTACCATGAAGACGAGGACGACAACCACGAGGAGGAGGTGGAAGTCGCAGCCGAAATCATAAGGAGTCGACCACCTGGCCAGGAGACCGATCACCCCTCCAGAGGAAATCCGTCTGATCATCCGCAGGTTGAAGGTCAGAAAGGCGCCGGGAAGGGACGGCATCAACAACAGGATGTTGAAGAACCTTCCCTCCAAAGGCATTGCTGCACTCACCAACACCGCCAATGCCACTCTGAGATTTAACCACTTCCCGCAGCGGTGGCGGGAAGCCCAGGTTATAATGCTCACCAAGCCAGGCAAGGACCGGAAGTTGCCCCAGAACTACCGGCCCATCAGCCTGGTTTCCTCGATGGGCAAAGTAGTCGAAAAGGCTATCGGCGTTCGACTAGAGAAGCAGGCAGAAGAACTGCAACTTCTCCCCCCAGAGCAATTCGGCTTCAGATCCTCCCACAACACGGAACTCCAAGCGCTACGACTGACAGAAAACATCACCAGCGGCTTCAATCTCCAGGAGGCAACCGGCCTCGTCCTGCTGGACGTGGAACGAGCCTTCGATCGAGTTTGGCACGATGGACTCATCGCCAAAATGGAAGCCGCCGGAATCGATGAAAACATGTACCAACTGATCCAGAGCTATCTAACACAAAGATGGCTCACGGTGAAGATAGGTACATGCCACTCAACAAGACGACAGCTGGAAGCAGTCGTGCCCCAGGGGTCAGCCTTAGCCCCCCTGCTCTATAACATCTATACTCACGACGTACCAAAGACAGCTGACACAATGCTGGCCCTATATGTAGACGACACTGCTATAGCCGCCAAGCATCGATGACCCGAGATCATCCGTAGGAGACTACAGGATGAACTGGACCACATCCAGGACTGGTGCGTGAAATGGAAAATCCGCATCAACGTCCAGAAGACGCAGGCAATCTTCATCCAACGAAGAAGGATTGCAAGACCTCTCGAAGCATCCATCTTCGACGAAGATATCCAGTGGAGCGACAAAGTCAAATATCTGGGGATAGTATTTGACAAGTCCCTCACCTGGAAAGACCACATAGAAGCTGTCATCGCAAAGACCAGAGCAGCCATGGCTCAACTCTACCCAATACTGAGTAGACATAGCCGGATGCCACTAGCGACCAAGCTACGGCTGATCAAGGCGATCGCCAGACCTCAGCTCGCTTACGCCTCCGCGGTCTGGGGGTACGTTGCCCCCAGCTACCGCAAGCGACTTGCTGCTCTAGAGATGAAGCTACTCCGGATCGCCACCAGTGCACCATCCTACGTAAGAAACTCAACCTTAGAGACCTGCATTGGGACACCATTCACGAGTACATGAGGAAAAAAGCGGAGAAGACCTTCCAGAAAGCTCAGGACCACCCGAACGAGCAGCTAAGATTCCTCATGGACTACGATCCAGACGAGAGGCCTCGCAACCGCAGAACCAGGTACCCTAGACCAAGGTCTCAGTTGGCACCCGCTAACTGGAACCTTGACTAGGAGACTAGGAGAACCCGCGGTTGCTCCCCCCCCCCCACGGCGTAGATGCAGAGGACCAGGAACCACCGGGACCAGGAACCACCGGGACCAGGACCCACAGGGACCAGGACCCACCAGGACCAGGACCCTTCAGGACCAGGACCAGGAACAATATATAGGTAGGAGGACATGAAACTCTTGATTTTTCGAAAACAAGAGATTCAAGAGAACCTAGCAGACCCTCTATCGATGATCGCTTAACGACATCGATAGAATGTATTTCGGAGCTATTTTCTAAAAAAATTTCTTATTACATCAAGTGAAACATTCTTTTGCGCGGTATTGTTACGAGCGGGAACGAAATGGCGGTGATTTTAAACACATTTTATGAAAGATTCGCATTATTGCCTGTATTAAATAAAATTGTAATAAGTAATGTCATACTTGTTTGTTTTCGCTAACTTCACTTGAAGAATTAATAAGACGCTTGGGTACCTCATGATGCAAGTCATTTTTTTTTCTCGAAAACAATCCTAGATGGCCTGTTTCTGTAAGAGACAAAAAACGCAGTAAACGAAAAGATTCGCTGAATAAAAAAAAATCATTGTCATCAGGAAAGTTGCCAATAAAATCTGCTATCATCTATGTAGCGAGGGGGTAGTTTTTACCCTTTTCGAACCGTTTAGAGCTTTTCGTAAGTCAAGTTTTAGAATGTCTAGCAAATCAGACTGTCGGTCCTCAAAATATCGTAAGAAATGTGGTTTAAAAAGAAAACACTGTCGATCTTCAACGGACAAACTTTTTTTGTACGTGGTGCTTATGTCCACGGAATATTGGGACACCCTGTATAACCAACGTAGGCGTTCACCATCACATTGGGGTTTCTTTATAAGCGTTCCATCAAAGCAAAATCTGTCCGCCACTACAATGGACCGACTTTCCCTATTCTCAAAAACCTCTCTATTATCTTTTCCGCACCAGGAGATATATCTCCTTACAAAAAACCTTCATTATCGCCAGGGCCCATACACATATATTACAGTGTGTCAGCCACTTTTTTACCATAAGCCGTAGTACATATTCTTCGAGCCAAGTTCTATTCAGGAGGCACCCTACAAATTTTCTTTATCACTGCCGTTTGCAAATTGAGAGGAAGGCAGAGTGAAAAAGACCTTCACTCCTCATCCCCCTGTCTACCCACACAAGTCTCTTTTTCCCTTAATTCCGGGTTGACGCTTTTTTATATTATGGTTGAACACGGGCTTATCTATCGAAGGAAGTCCAACATTCAATTGCAATATTCCCAGAACTAAGGCCTGAAATACGATGCATTTTCGGAACTGCTATGCAAAAACCGATAAGTATGCTTTGCTTTGCGTTTCTCAAGCATGTTAAGCAGTCACTATGTAAAGCTATGTTCTCACGGGACAATAAGATGCGTCGTACGCGTTTGACACTTGGCTGGAAAAGACAGTGAAAAGTGACCCAGTAAGGGTCGTGGGCTGTTCACACGGTAACGATTCATTTAATTCCTTGAAGCTGGCCACGGAGGAACTACTGATTACGAGTTGTGCTGTTTTGAGTTCGGTTTTTAGTACTATGCTTGCGAAAAGGGTGAGAGCGCCAGGTAAAAAGATAAAAACTCTGAAAAGAAAGTTTTGTATGTTCGCGCTGGGAAATTTCATGCAAGCAAGGATCACGCAAGCGATCCACGCTCCGTGAGAACATAGCATAAGGCTAGGACGATACGTAGACTGAATCTATTTGTATTGCCCCACTGCTTACGCACGAGTAGGTATGTCATACTTGTGGTTCCTTGAAAAGCTGCAAGAATATTTGTCATGGATGCCACAAGTTGTTGTGTCTGTTGTATGTTGTTTCAAGCATTGACGCTAATTACCGGGCAACATAATTCGGTGATCTCATGTATGGAGGACAGAAAAGTTGAAGCGAACCTAGAAAGTACAGTATTCGATGTGTATCAGGTTGAGCAGGGTGTCCCCCAGGGATTTGTGTTTGGACCACCGGTATTCAACTTGATTTGCCCACTCATGTAGCTGAGGGGAATATAATTATGTTTTCAGATGACATCACAATTACTATATCTGCAAAAAATGTGAATCACCTACATAGCAGAATTTAACGTCTTTTCCATAAATTTTCATCCTGGTGCCAAAGAAATCGGCTAATCCTGAATTCAAGTAAGACTGCTGTAATACATTTTAACATCCATCGCATAATAATTAATATAGAACTGTCCTTGCTTTATCTGACCCTTGTAAATTACTCGGCACATATTTTGATGGCTGACTAAATTTTCAGGAACACATTGATCATGTTTGTGAGAATTTGAATAAATCATATATTGCTGCACTGCGGGTAAAAGATTTTCTAAACGAAAAAGCCGTTATGTGAATATACAGTGCGTTCCTTATTGAGGGGTGAATATTTAAGGGTGTGAATCGACATGAAACATTAATATTGGTTTGCTTTATGAACTATGGTCCAGAAATGTTTCCTTACAAAAACTCGGGGTGTTGAAGTTTTAGTAAAAAAATGGGAATTAATTAATATTTTCATAACCGCTTTCACTGATATTCAGTACATAGTATAAGTTAATAAAGTTGCATATTTCTCAATGCAAAAATAATTTTTAGCTTTAACAGTAGCGTGCGTACGGGTATTGACTTCAACATTTTTTAAGAAAAAATGGTACGCCAATGGTTTTCTGCCAAATAAAAATTATTTTTGAATTTTCCGTTCAATTAAAAACAAATGATCTCATCTAAATTGTTTTTCTTCGATGTGCCATTTTTGAGTAAAAAAATAAAAACCGTTCTATTGCCTAACTTGCAAAATTATTAGGTATTAATT